AGCCAAAATATGTTTGCAGTGAATGAAATCTTCAATATACCATCTTTACCATTTAGGATGGGGGCTTAGACAGAGTTAGGAGAGGAGTAGATAAGAAAAAGAATTGGAAAAGGTTTCAAGTGAAGCCAGAGGACATAGAATGACCATATAATCTTTAGGAAACTATTAAATTCAAAAGGGAAAGACAGAGTGCAAGAATAAGGACAAGAATATAACCACTTAACGGTAATAGGGGCACACTTTCCTTTGAAACTATTGACCCTTGAGTGAGCTCAAATGACAGAAGAAAAGAACATAAAGAATAAATGATAAAGGAAGACATCAGAGTTAGGGCAGGAGCAGGAACAGATAGAGAGATGAGGGATAATACAGTGGAGCAAGAGACTGTGTTGGAGAAAGAGGACAGAAAAAAGAAAGAATTTGCAGAGTAGAATAAGGAAAAGAAAGAAAAAAATGAATTTGGAGGGCCTCTTTTAGACTATATCTCTGCTGTCATAATATACAACATGCACAGTCATGTGCAGAACTAAGTCCTTTGATCTCAGCTAGCTGATGGCAGACCTCTGAGATTCAGACTGATTTCGGGCTGCAAGGCCCAAACTGAGTTCCCTGAACTCCTGCAGCATTGAACTTCACACAGTTCTACTACTGGTTCCCTATGCCCTTTCTTTAAATATGTTCAAAGTTGGGAGCTCAGAAAAATATCCTTTATGACCACCTCTGCCTCTGCAGAGTGGGTCCAAGGACTAGCACAATCAGGAGGTCTGAGAGAAGAACAAGGGAATTCAAAGCAATGGGACCATAGCAAAACCAAAATTCAGTGGGAAAATATTAAGTCCTATAGATCTGTAACCAGCATCTGAGGTATGTGGTGGCAAGAAATGAGTTCCAAAGGATGTGGGCAGTCCCACTCCTATGGCCTTACTGGCTATAGCCCACATGGCCTCTTTCTTGGGCTGGCTTTACTTACTGCCTGTGGCTTTCTTTGGCATGTTTTCCAAGTTAACAGTACAGAATCTCCAAGCTCCTGGGTTTCTCCATTGTAATTTAATGCATCACTCTCTCGGGGTCTCCTAGCTTTTGTACATTGCCTGGCTTTCTAGGCCTTCCTTTGAAAGATGAATGGAAGCCTCTTTGACCCCACAACTCTTGCATTCTATATGCCTGAAGAAAAATAAAGCAATATCCAATGGATGGCACCAAGATCTGTCACAGTTCAACCAATAGCTGGGTTCACATGGACCATAGCTGCAGCCATCTCTGAGTCCTGGATGGCTCAACTTGATAAAACATTTCCCTAGGCAACCCTGAATGCACATGGTGTACTAGTATCCACAATGGAAGCATATTTAAACCTGTGGTGGGTGGGGTCTGGCCAATTCCTATTTGGGTCAAAGTATCATTATTGTTGTTCCAGTGCAAAAGTATTTGGCTTCTTTTTAATGGTACTATCTCTACAGCAACAACACTTTATTTGGCTCAAACTTTATTTAAGATTCTTTCCTGGCCAAACAGCAAGTTTTTCAAATATGTCCACTCTGCTTTTTGATTCTAATTTAATTCTCTCCACAAAGTTAGCAAAAAGCAGTCAGAATTATCCATGCTTCAGCTTGAATGCTGTGCTGCCCTGAAATTTCCTCAGATTAATTAGTTCATTATCTTTAAATTTAGCCTCATATAATGCTTTAGAACATGGATAAAATGTAGGCAAATTCTTTGCCAGAATATAATATGAATAATCTCGAGGCCAATTTCTCAGAGCCTTCCTGCCCATCTGCAACCTCATGAACACACAGTATTTACTGTCTGAATTCCTATCAGCATTCTGGTCTTCTGAGCTCCTACCAAAAACACCCATCAAGCCCTGTTTAAGGCATTTTAGGGCTTCAGTATTCCATGTCTCCAAATGTTTCCAAATTTTTCCTGCAACCAGGCCTTTGGCTGTTTAACCACATGGTCAGGGGTAGTCAGGGCAACAACCTGCTCTAGTACAAATTTTCTGTATTAATCACCTTTCTACTGCTGAAACAAAATATACAAAATGTACACTTTAAAGGAGGTGAAGTTTATTTTGGCTGATGGTTGGTCATGTAAGACTTGAATTATAAGCCCATGCTAAATGACAAAGGGCCTAGGAGACAGTGCTCTAATTCCCTCCCATTGTAGCTATAGCCCTGACCTTTGCTCAAACCCTGGCTTAGGAATGTAAGGAAATCTTGTGCTGTTTGAAGTCTAGATCACGATTAATGTGTAAGTTAGTGGTTCTAGACTATGAGATAAAATCTGTACTGTACAAAGAGATCCCAAATTAATTGTTGAACTGTTTGCTCATCCTGAATGTCTTGGTGGCCTTTGAAACATCCTATAGGTATCTGTTAATCATCGATATGTGATTGCCGAGTACGTGACTGCTGACCACCAGCTCAGATCAGCAGGCCTCTGTCCCCTGCCTGCAAGCTTAGAATGTTAAACCCTCTTTTTACACCCCCCATAGAAAGGACCTCAGCTCCTGAGCTGGTGCCTCTCTGAGCCAGCTACTTGGTTCTGAGAGTGCCGTCTGGCCAGACTAATAAAGGTCTGTTTACCATCTAGCCTGGTGTGTTCCTTCCTGGATGACTCTTGTTCCTCCGTCAATCTCCTGGAGCCTCACTGTGCTATAGGACTCAGCATCATGAAAGCCTTTTCGGCTGTTCATGCTTCTCGGAATGGAAGTGAGACTTTAAATCTTACATTCAGCTCCTTGCTTTTAGGATTAGTTCATTGATGAGTTAGTGTTCTACTATCTGATCACCTTTTCAAAGCCTTGCCTCTGAACATGAGCCTTCTGAGGAATATTTTTGTGAGGGAAGCAGACGTGAGTTGCTATGGTAAGTTGTGTTATCATTTCACATTAGAAAATATAAAGTTACAATTACCTGACTTTGAAAAATAAAATAAACAAAGGTAAAGTAAATGTGACCAACCAAACAACAAACAGTTAAAGAAAAAGTAAGGAGGCAAAATAATAATAAGTAGTCAGCAGAACAGGAAAAAATGTAAGGAATGATAGTGAAAATGTACAAGTGTCATAGAAACAAAAGATAAATCCCTTAAGATCTCTTATTAAAAGAAAATTTCAAATTAAGTTGTTGACACTGAGAATAACATTAAAATCTGCGGATATAAGCAATTCATAACTTTTTTAAAAAATTAATTTTATCGGTACATTTTAGGTATACAATACAATGACATTCATCATTGGAGATATGCACCTTTACATAATATATCTTAATTCTTATTTTTCCCTATTCTCCTACCCTTGCGTCAACCCCTCCACCCCTATTTACAATGACTTTATATCTATATTTTCATTTATCATGTTAATTCCAGTCCCTTCTTTTCTTTTTCCTACCCTTCCTACTTCCTCTTTGCACCTTTTCTTCCTATTTCACATTGTCTATTATTCATTTTGATCCTTATTTACAATTTCAGTTTCTCACACTAGAGAAACTGTTTGGTATTTACACATATATGTCCTATTTATTTCACGTAACAGTATGGCCTCAATGTTCATCCATTTAGCTATAAATGTCTCTAATTGCTCATTCTTTATGTCTGAGTAGTACATCAATTTATTAAAAATTTTTTTCTTTACTCAGTCTGCAGTTAATGGGCAATTAGGCTGCTTCCAAGCTTTATCTTTTACAAACTATGTCACTATGAGCAGGGGTGCACATATATCACTGAGGTATCATTCTTTTAATTCTTTTGGGAAAATACTCAGAGGGGAAGAGCTGGGTCAAATGGGACCTCTAATCCTAGTTGTTTAAGGTATCTCCATATTGATTTCCACAGTGGTTACACCAGTCTGCACTCCCACCAACAATGGAGAAGGCTTCCTTTCTCCCCATTGCCCTGCCAGCATTTATTAAGCATTATATCACTTTGTGTACATTTATAATTCCCAGTATTTAAAAAATTACATTTTAGTTGGAATTTAAAGGTATTTAAATGTTTAATTTTTAAAAAGGCATCCAAAATTAGTTATTTCTATTTATCTGTTTAAGCCAAGGAAAGTATGTATACAGAAACATATATATATGCAGGTGTATGTATTTATCCTGGAAAAACCTTGGAACATAATTATTTCCCTTGTAATTATCTTTTGCATTGCTCATTTGAATATGGCTTGCCAATCTGTGTAACATTTTTGGAGATATTAACAAGTGAAGTATCCTAGCTTAGTTAAGAGACGAATTACTCTCCTCATATACCTCGTACTTTGGCCCGACCCTAAAAGTTACATACATAAGAAAAATATTCTTATTCTTCTGGCAGAACAAAGCAAATGACAGAAAAGATGTACACAAAATATTTTTTGTTCAATAGTTTTCCAATCTCTATTCATCTTCGGGGTGACTAGGTAAGATACTCGCATAATTATTACTAGCATTCCCTTTCAATCTGCAAATTGTCCAGGTTACGTGGATAAATTTTTACACATCAGGTACCAGATTTACTAAGACTTATTACTGTTTATATAATAAATAGAAATATAGCCACAGAGATATTAGCTGGAAAGTTTGTCTCTTTTTCATATTAGTGTGCAACAGAATCCTAGGGGATTCAGAGAGAATGGTAAGAACACAAATTGAGTCATTATTTGACTGTGATCTAGATCCATTCTTGTTATTAAGCTTTGTTTTAGTTATCTGGAAAGCAGAGGTAATTCATAATTTTGGTAACTTTGTAATATTCCGCTAAAAGTTGGCTGTTATAGACATGAGGCCATTTTTTGAGTGTTTTGTAGTGTTTTAAACTTTTTTTTTTTTTTCATACTGGGGATCAAACCTGGGACCTTGCACTTGGGAGGCAGGTGACGGAACCACTGAGCTAAATCCCCAGCACTTAAACATTTTAAATGTATTTAAAAATTCACATTATAATTTATAAGCAGACATGAGGCACTACTATTCTCATCAATAACATAAACATTATTTATGATACTTAAGAGTCCTTACCATTGCCTTATCTTCTTTGAAAATCATATGTGTAGGGCCAGGGATTTAGCCCTGTAGTTCTGCCACCTGCCTCCCATGAGCACAGGTCCTGAATTTGATCCCTGGTACCAAAAACAAACAAACAAACAAAAAATCATGTGTATAGATTCACTAAGATCAAAATGTCTTAAGTCAAGGATGTACTAATCATATGAGTAGAATAACATTATCTTCACAAATTATTGCTAAGCTTATTTAATTTTTATAAAGGGAGCTATCATGTAGCATTTTTCCTTTCTATGATTTCTTAGAACATATATCTTCAGATATATCATCACCTATAACCGACGAAAAGTGAATAAGACTATTTCACCCCACCTTCTCCTACAAACTCCATTTCTCCCACCATGGAAATAGCCCCAAACAGCTCAAACTTCACTTTCCGACAAAAGACATCCAGCAAAACTACTGTAATTTTCCCAGAAAGGAATAGTTTATGCTACTCAATAAATTCTAATATGATGAAATACATCTTTATTAATTAGAAATTAGAAATATGCAATAGAAGTTGCAATGAGAATCTGATTTTTGTTTTCATTTCATACTATGCTAAAGCTCTAAAGTCTTAAGTGTCCACTTCTTGCAGCCTAACTTCCCTTTGAACAAAATAGCATGGCTCTTTAAATTTAAGGAACAGACTGTTTTAACATGCATTTTTGTTTACATTTCAAACCCAGAACATTCACATTTGGGGTGAGAATTGATCTCACCTGTCTCTGCAAAGGGGGCAAGTCCATTTCTCCTCTTACTTGAAGTATACAGTTCCTCTAGCTTTGTCTCATCTTGAGTAGTTGTAGGAGAAATGTAACAGGACATAAATATGTAGAGAGAAGTTGTACTTGTCTTTTCTTGATGCTGCACTAATCACTGATTATAGCACTTCCAAATACTGTTTGTATTACTTTAAGTAAGGATGTTACTTTTTCAATATGATTTTGAAGACTTATACAACTGTGCACATAAATGGCATAAATGAATGGCAGGGCAAGCCACTGGCATTGTCAAAGCTCTCCTAGAAGCCTGGATTAGCCTTCTTGATTGTTGGGGAACACAAAGAAAGAGAAATATCTTTCCATGTGGTATCACTTCAAAGGAGCATGGAGCCAGATGGGAATACTACTATTACAAGAGAAGTATTTTCAAAGTTGAGGAAGGTCAGAGCAAAGACAACAACCTGCTACTGACTGCATGAAAACTTATCAAAACTCGTTAGTCCCCAAGAATAATGACAGTGAACAAACTGCCAACAAAACTCCAGACCTTCACTGGTAGTGTAGATTGGTGTAGAATTAGATCTCTAAACTCAATCTAGTGTTCTAGAGATTCCTTTAAAATCAGGCAAGCCTAACAATAAAGCCTAAAGTGCTGTTATTACATCAGCACTGCTGTCAAGCACTTCATGAGTGCAAAGTAAATGTTACTCCTGAAAGAGTTAATTCTGTCTCTCTACTTACACCTAATTAACACCAGGAAAGCTTTAGGCAAAAGGCAAAATAGGACGCTTGGGACTAGGCAATTTCATCATTGACTCCAAGTAAACCCAAAGAATACCCGACAACCAGCTAGAAGGCAAAGAAGAGAGGATTTGAAATCTGATTTGTAAGTTCTTCTGTGGGGAAATAAATGTGAATGCAAGAAAAAAATTTGCTTCAGTCAAGCTTCATATTTTTAGAGAGTTGCTGAATCAAATTCACAATCTCTGAGAAATGTATTTGCTTTTGAACTTAGTAAAATCTCATAGATTTCAATAAAAAGGAAGATAAACTTTGAAATAAATCATATCTTTGAAGAAATGATGAAGATGTGGAGCAAAGCAAATAAAACGTGGCTTTGAAAGACTTAATAATTACCTATAATTAGAATATCAATTTATTCTTTATTAATTACTTGTGTATAAGAGGAAAAATTAGTCTCAGATATGCAAGGGGTATAATGCAGAAAAGGAAGCCAAGCTGTTCTACACTGCTCCTGAGGGCACAGTTAAAATCACTGGGTTCACTTTTTAGCAAGCTTTTTGTGAATTTTTGGCTCTTCTGCTACATTTACTGTTTTCAATCAGAATATGAGCCTCCTGTCATGAAAAGTAGTTCAATGACTCCATTGGACATCTGTAAGGGATGTTATGTAAAGAATTCTTCCATTTGTTGTGATTTTGAATTAGATCAGTACTTGTTCTTTTTTTTTCTTCTGCAATAGAAAATTTGAAAAAAGAAATCTTGAAAACTGAAATCTTACACAGACTTTCAGTTTATACATTAACAGATAACAATGCTGAAATGATTCTTTGGTGTGTCAGAGCTTTCATTGTTTGGAAAGAAAATGGCACGATTAGAGTAACATCTCCTCCAGGGCTGTATTAGGCCCTTACATCTCACAGGACAGAGTGAAAGCTAACTCCATGACTCTCTGACTGAGAATAATGATGTTACAGTACCCGAAAAGAATAGCTGAAAGCAAACAAAGACACAGAACCTAGAAATTCCTGAAGATATACTCCATAAATCTTCAGATTCTTCTTTTTTTTTTTACACAAAAGAACTATGAATTCAACTTAGTGAATAAAGTGAGAGCTTTGAGCTAATGAGTATGTCACAAACTAGGCTCAGAGAGGGGGAGATTTTCTAAACAAAGGCTTCATCATCGTGGTATTAGCAAGCTTGCAAGGTGGCCCCTAGTAATTTTCTTCTCTTGATATTCATGCCCTCCTAATATAGTGCCCCAGGCAGAAGTAGGGTTCTTAGTAGAATACTATGGATGGGATCATATGTTTCCTGAGAGTAGGTCATAAAAGGACTCACAGATTCTACTTTGTTCTGTTGGGAAACCAACTCCATGTTATGAGAACCCTTAAACAACTCTGGATAAGCCCAGCAACAATAAGCTGAGGGTTTACACTAACAGCCTCATGTTTGAGTGACTCTATTAGCAGATGTTCTAGCCTGGTCTAACCTTCAAAAGATTCCAGCTCAGTCAAAATCTAACTTCACAAAAGCTACTGCCTAAACTTTCACCATCAAGAAGAGCTCAGCTAAGCTGCTTCAAAGTTCCTGACCTTAACAAACCATGAACAGTGACTATTACTGTTGTACTTCTCTGGGTTTTTCAAAAATTTTGATTGGTAAATAATAACTATACATATTTAGGGGTACAAGTAATTGTTTTGCTATTATGTACTTTATACAATGATCAAATCAGGATTAGTATATTTATCACTCAACATTTATCGATTCTTTGACACTATTTTTTGTGATTTGTTATGCAGCAATTAAAAACAAAGTTAATCATACATGAGTATCCATTTCTTATGCCTTTTCACTTAAACTCATGCACTGTTCATGATATTTGAAGAGAAGGAAGCCTCAGAGAGCTGTAAGTGCAAAGGAAGCTTGTCATGACTTTTGTTTATTTTTATTCTTATGTAATCAGTAAGCCTCAGATATATACAGATGCACTCATGGTTTGTTGGATGAATGAACATATAAACAAGATAAGTATTTTCAAGGAGTTAAAATAAGAGAGGTCAAATTTGTAAATCTCAAATTTCCACTTAAAAATAGTTTTTGAGAGAGGAATAGAGAATATACCTAAATTATTGATTTTTATAGATATAAATAATATTTTTACTGTCATCTGGGACAGCATTTGATTTAGACCCAAAGCTATCCAGCAACATATACTCTTCCCTCTGCCTCAACTGACCTTGCACCTTCCTGTAGGCCAAATTCCCTTGTCCTTCTGGCCTCAACAGTTGTAGCAGCCCTCTGCAGGGGAGCTTTTTCCAATTTCTTTTGTCAGGCTTCGTGTCACAGTACATTTGACAGTACATTCTCTTCCAAAATAGCTTATTTTTATGTAAAATAATATATAATTATTAAAGAAGAGGAAAACAGTATATAGCAATGACCACTACATTATTTCCTTCCTGTTATTAATGTACTTTTAATGGGCGATCTTCAAATATGACTCTTCACACCAGCAGATCTGTAAGTAGAGGAAGGTACAGCTATGGGTTCCTGTAAATTTTGTGCTGAAACTTTTCTAACATATATATATATTATATATATATTTATATATGTTATTGGAAAAATGTAAGACTAGAGCTCACATGCATTGTGATACTGTACATTGAACCCAGAATGTAATTTAGCACTGAGTTACATCCCCAACCCTTTTATTTTCTGTCTTGAGACATGGTTTTACACATGGTTTCATCAGAATGGCCTTAAACTGGCAATCCTCTCACCTCAGCCTCTGGAGTAGCTGGGATTACAAGCACGTGCCACTGCACCAAGCAAGATTCACTTCTCTGTGTTTACAATAATCTCTGAGATTCCCGAAATATTTGTTTATTGAAAAAAGTGTATATTATTTTGACTGAACTTTAGGGAAACCTCCAGCTTTGCAATATGAATGACATTTCTGCCTCTGAAGTGAATTCACAAACAGAACACTTCATAAAGAGTAATGTATATTTTCCTACCTGTGTGAACTGGTGGTTTATATATGACTTGGGCCTCTATCACCATAAAGACACTGTAATTATTTAAGTCAGTAAGCATGTATTGCATATACTTAGTAAAAATGAGCTACTGTGCTAAGTACTCAGATTGGGAAGAAAGGTTTCTTATCCCTAAAGAATTTAGAGTTTAAATAATGGTAGAGGAAGGTATTAACCAAGGCTACCTAACCTTCATTATTACTGTTACAGTATTATTTTGTGCCACTAGGGATTGAACACAAGGCTTTTGCACTGAGATATATCCATAGCCCTTGTTTTACTTTTTAATTTTGAGACACCAAGTTGCCCAAGCTAGGCCCAAACTTGTGATTCTCAGCCTCTCAAAGTGCTAGGATTACAAGTGTGTGACACCATGGTTGGTTGACAAAACCTTTATCATAGTGGTCCTTTAGATACCAGCACATCTTCTAAGATACATATCAAGGCAAATGGAAAAAATGCTCAGAATAATTTTCAACTAGGTCACATTGGCTAATTGACAAGAGCATGACATTGTCAGCTCAGGCATAGTTAGACCATCAGAAAGTGTTTAACTCATTCACTATACAATTGTAAAAACGTTCTCAAACTCTTTTAGGTACATAGGTGGCCATTCAGTGTATTAAGCATGAAAGTTTAAATTTGGTAGCAAGAATTAGTCCAGCTGAGTCTATCTTTGCCTAAATGACCTTAGTAAAGGCCAGAAACACTTACTCATCCTTGTTATGTTTCTAACAATTCCAGGGTTAGCAGCTCTACACACCTTTCAGCTCGGAATTGATTTTATCAGTAGTCTACACATTTGGCCTGAATAAGTATTTCTTTTTATCCTGAGCATTCCCAGACATTATGTTACAAAGTAGAAAGTGGAATGTAAAGTCATCACAGCACAGTGGTTCACACAGTGAGGTCAGAAGAGGGCAGAGAAAAAGATACAGCAGTGGCAGGCGACTTACTGACTTTTCTCAGAGGCCTGGGATGAGAGACTTGGCAGACGGGAGAGCCGATGAGAGGGCACATTGCTAATGCTTTGGTTTAGTCTAGCATTGACGTTTATAATAAGGCAACTATCAGGACTATAAAAAACTACAATTTTTAAAAATGCAGGATTTTAAAATATGAAAATATATATAATTCAAAAACATTTCCATTTGGTCTAAGGAAATGAATGCAGAATACACGTATGAGTAATAGAAGGGCTACAGGGGTACAACTGTTCCTTAGCTATTAAACTGTTTAAAAGAATAAAAGAATTGAATAAATCCTGTTTTTATCAAAGTTGATAATAATCATTCTTAAATGGGCTTTTTGTACTCAAAACTTTTGATCACAATTCGTCATAGGGGATAACTTGCCTCTGTATCTAGGGAAGGTAAAATTTCAGAGGAAACTACAAAAAAAGGTGGTCTGTCAATACTTTCACAGGTGTAGACTTATGTGCACATTACTTTCATTCTTCCACCTAAATTGAATTTAACATATAACACAGAACTATCTGAGCAAACAGTATGTAAGGAAGAAACTAGTTTGCCAGTTAGAAACAGGTAGAATGAATTCTGATCACTGTAGATGAAAGTACATTACACAGATTGGAGATTGTATAACTACAAAACATGCAGGTAAGAAATGTACTGTTTATGTGACTATCATTATGGTCATTTACGCCACAAAACATAGACACTAAAAGACATATATCTACTCTACATTAACTACAAAATTTGAAGTAACAAGGCAACTATAGATTTCTTTTTTAATATGAAAGCAGTCACATGAGGGAAATTTACAGCAGTGAATTCCATATCAGAAAAACAGAGTGAATGCAAACAACCTAATGTTTGAACCTTAAGCTTCTAGAAAAAGAAGAGCAAGTCAAGCCCAAAGCTCATACAAGCAAGGAAATTGTAAAGATCAGAGGAGAAATTAGCACAATGGAGAGTAAGAAAATGATACAAAGAATCAATGAATTGAAGAGTTGGTTCTTTAAAAGGTCAAATAAAATTGACAAACCCTTAGCCAACCTTATCAAAAAAATGGGAAGAAAAGACTCAAATCCATGTAATTAAGAAAGAAAAAGGTGAAATCACAACAAATCCTACAGAAATCCAGATCACCAATATCTATTTAAAGAACCTCTAATAAGATGTAAAACACAGAAGAAATGGACAGGTTCCTGGATACAGATGAATTACCAAAGCTGAATCAAGAAGATAGAAATATTCTAAATAGACCAGCATCAGTTAATGAAATTGAAGATGTAATTAAAAATATGCCAACAAAGAAAAGCCCAGGCCCTGATATATTTACTGCTGAATTCTACAAGAAATTTATTTTTTTCTTTTTATTGAGTTTATCGGTACATTTTAGGTATGCAGTACAGTTACATTCATTATGGGGATCTTGTACCTTTACATGACAGGTCTTGGTTCTCATTTTTGCCCCTTGTCCCTGCCCTCCCTTCACCGCCTCCTCCCCTTCCCATTTACAAACACTTTATTTCCATTTTTTTCCCTTATTCCCTTTCCCCTACCTTTCCCACTCTCCCTATACATTTAGACCTTTTCTTCCTATTTCTCATTGTTACTTATCTCATTGGGATCTTGTAAGAAATTTAGAGAATATCTAATGCCACTACATCTTAAACTCTTTAATGAAAGTGAAAGGGAAGTAGTACTTCCAAATTTGTGCCTGGAAGCAAGCATCACCCTTATAACAAAATCAGAGAAGCATTCCAAACAAAAAAGAGAACTATAGGCCAATCTCCCTAATGAACATAGATGCAAAAATCCTCAATAAGATACTGGAAAACAGAATGAAGCAAATCATCAAGAAGATTATATATCATGACAAAGTAAGATTCATCAAAGGGATGCAGGGAATGGTTTGACATATGCAAATCAATAAATGTAATACATCATAGTAACATACCCAAGGACAACAAGCACAATCAGCTCAATAGATGCAGAAAAAGCATTTGATAAAGTTCAACATCCATTCATAATAAAAACCCTATAGAAAATCGGAATAGATGGTCTTTATCTCAATCTGATAAAAGCCATCTATGACAAACTAACAGAAAACATCATACTAAATGGTGGAAAACTGAGAATTTTCATTCTAAAATTAGGAACAAGATAAGGATGTTCACTACCAGTACTCTATTTTACTATAGTTCTTGAAACATTAGCCAGAGCAATTAGACAAGAAACCAAAACAAAAGATATAAGGCTAGGAAAGGAAGAAGTTAAATTATCATTACATGTGGGTGACATGATACTCTCTATATAGAAGATCCCAGAATTCCACCAAAAGAATTCCTGATTTAGTAACTAAATAACCATAGCTAGATTCAATGTCAATGCTAAAAAAAATCACTAAGATTCCTGTACAGAAATAACAAATTGAGAGAGAAATTAGAGAAACAACACTTTTCACAATAGCATAAAAATAATGAAATACCTACAAATCAATCTAATGAAGGAAAAGACCTTTACATTGAAAACCACACTAATCTGAAAAAGGAGATTGAAGAGATATCAGAAAATGGAAATATATTCCTTGTTCTTAGATAGGGAGAATCAATATAATGAAAATGGCCATTCTTCCAAAATTATTATACAGACAATGCAATTCCAATCAAAATTCTAATGGTATATCTCACAGAATTAGGGAAAGATCCTAAAATTCACTGGAACCAGAAGAGACCTAGAATAGCAAAAGCAATACTGGGCAACAAAGACAAGGCAGGAGGCATCACAATGCCTGACTTGAAATTATACTACAAAGCCCCTGTGCCCACAAAAACAAAGTAACACAAAACAAACACAAACAAAAAACAAAACAAAAAGAAACAGACCCTAGAGTCAATGGAACAGATTAGAAGTTGCCAAGACAACTTCAAACTCATTCAGTCACCTTATCTTTGACAAAGGAGACAAATGCCTTTACTGGAATAAAGACAGCCTCTTTATTAAGTGGTGCTAGAAAAATTGGTCTTCCACAGGCTGAAGATTAAACCTACCTCATATCTCTCACAATCCACTAAACTAATATCAAATTGAATCAAAGATCTAAATATTAAAATAGAAACACTAAATCTGGTGGAATGTAGCATAGGTAGAACTCTTGAAGACACAGGAGTAGGCAGTGACTTTATGAACAAATAGGAAATATGGCAAAGAATTGACAGCTGGGACCTCACCGTACTAAAAAGCTTTTGGACAGCAAAAGAAACCACCAACAGAGTAAAGAAGACAGCCCACAATGTGGGGTGAAATTTTGCCAGTTGTTCCTCAGACTACTATCTAGAAAGACCTCAAAAGCATCAGATCTCCCAAATTTAAAGATCCAAGTCCAAAGTGGGCATCTGAAATAAATAGACATCTTTCAGGTGAAAAGTACAAATGACAAATAAATATATTGAAAATGTTCCACATCTTTGGTAATTGGAGAGATGCAGATTTAAACAATTCTGAGATTCCATCTCACTCCAGAAGGAATGGCTATTTTCAAGAAATCAACCAACATGGATATCCTGGAAATCACTCTCCCCAGGCTCTGTCCAGGTGGTGTAGGGAAGCATAGGGTTATGTCGCATGATGCCCAGTGCCTCTCACAAAATTGGAGAAGAGGTGGGACCTTGTGTCTGCGCCTGCACATTTCTACATCTTTTCAATCCTTTGGGCAAAGACTGAGGAGATAAACCATCGAAAAACAATGTAAAAAAGAGAAAGAAAGACAAAAGAAATCAGCCAGTAACAAATGCTTGTGGGGCTGTGGAGAAAAAGTAATCCTTCTCCACTCTTGGTGGGAGTGTAGACTGGTGCAACCACTGTGGAAATCAATGTGGTGGTTCCTCAAAAATTTGAAAGTAGAGGTTCCACTTGACTCAGCTATTCCCCTTCTTGGTATTTTCCTGAAAGAATTAAAAGCATCTTACACAGTGATATGTGCACACCCATGTTTATAGTGGCACAGTTTCTAGTCGCTAAATATTAGAAATAGTCCAGATTCCCATCAATGGATGAATGGATGAAGGACATGTGGTTTTTATATGCAAGGAAGTACTAGTCTGCCTTAAAAAAGAATAAGTTTGAGACATTTATAGCTAATTGGATGCTCCTTGAGACCCTACTCTTAAGTGAAATAAATCAGACACACATTTGTATATTGCATTTTTTAATCTGGTGGAAGAGACCAAAATGGTAAATAAGGACCAAAATGTATAATAAATATTGGGAAAAGGGAATAAAATGTTCAAATAAGAAGGGAAATAAATGAGGGGGAGAGAGAAAGCAAGGAAGGGACAGGACAAAAAAGAGGATAAAAGGAAAAAATGGAAACAGTGCTTTTGCTTTTGTAAATAAAGAGAGGAAGAGGGGTTGAGGGAAGACATGGGTATGAGGAAAAAAAGAAGTGAGATATATTATGTGCAGGTAAAAATTCCTTATGACTAATGTGCTCATTGTGTATTATGTACCAATAAGAAAGAATAAAGAAAAATCTGTATACTAAAAAAAAATTAGTCTCTATTTAAAAGTAATATTTAATACAGAAATAAAGAACTGGTGCTTTTGATTGCTAAATACCTAAGTCTTGACTACTGAATTTTTTTTCTATGTTGAATCACGGATACAGAGCAGCAGCTAGCACTCTCGGCACCACGGGCATAGCAGAATTTTAGTTTCGGGAGGAAGAGTAATGGTCATGCTACCCAAACGTGTCACGTGATAGGTAAGGCACACAGGTTAAGCGGATGTTCAAAGGAGGGGAGGTCCAAAGGCTAGAATCTAGGGATTCTTCCATCGTGCTAGGCTTGATTGAGGGTAGCAGTACCCACATCACTGCACATACAGCTCTGATTCTATCAGCGAAGCTAGACAGAGCTACAGCACTTGCTCTCGTTCATAGCAGAGAGATCATAACATGTCCAAAGCTTTGTTTCACCATTTTTTTCCCCACTGTGTGTGGAAACTCAGGACCTTGAGCTTGCAAGGCAGGTGTAGCGCCCCTGAGCTACATCCCCAGCCCTCCAATGCTTTGCTGATCACCACACAGCAGAAACGCTCTTTAACTGCAAGAAGCGGGGAAAGTTTAGAAATGAGGGTTTGAGTCTTGAGGGGAGGGGCAAAGGGACAAGTTCTCTGAGCTGGCTACACTGTCCTCAGCCACCAGACGTAACCTCACAACGAGGAGAAGTCAGGGGACCGATGAGCTCACTGCGGGGTTTTCTCCTACAAAGGAAGCTTTCTAAATGTGAAGTTGCTCAATCCCAAAGTGGAGCTGTTTGGCAGAGATGTTAGAGAGAGCTGGAAATTACTTTATCAAAGAATCTGTAGCCAGATTACTGAATGCACCACATTGCAAACTATTCAGGTTGGCTGGGCAAGGCCCTAAAATGTTGTCAACTCTCCTTAATTAATATTGCTCTAAGTCCTATGGTGAGGTAGATGAACTTTCAAACATTAAACAGTAGAATTACACACCAGGTGGCTTTTCCCAAACACCCCCAATCCCAATTAAAGAGCCATATTTGGTTTGGGTTTCCTCAAATGGTGCTCTTGTTAACACTCATCGAACACAGGAAAAATAAAACAGCAATTTAACTGTGCCCACAGTGTGAAAGGCTTGTGCAAATAATCAGCACATTTCTAACTGGTTAGTAATAGGCAGAGAGCAAGAAATAAATGACCGGATTTATACCACTGGGTAAATCTGAGAGCAACATTACAGCTGAACTATATTCATTTACAATTTAAAGCAAGCCTTTCAGTGAATAATTGTTTACACAATAGTGAAGAGTGCTTGTGCTGCACAACTGGGATCCATTTACAATGTGTTAACCAAATCATGCATGTTTACAAAAGATTTAGAGTTTGTTTTTGGAGAAAGGAGTCATGGTGCCCAAGCCAACAAAAACAGAGCAGTGTGTACAGTTAGCAAATCTTTTCTTAGCTGCAAAATTAGTGTCAAGTTGCTTGAGCCCCATAAAGTACATCGGTATAAGTCACTCATTAAGTTGATGTGTGAAGGTAGGATCCTTAGACAGCAGGTCGCTCCATTCTGATTTTTTTTTTTAAATCAGCCAAATAATGAGCTGAGGGTAGAGTGGCTTAACCAGGGCAAGGGAAAAAGAATGCAGAATCATCTTAAAACGGCCAGCCTGGATTTAATAGCCTACAACAAAACCCTAAGCAGGTCAACTTCATGGTTCAGCAATTCCTAAAAGCCTTGTCTACTTCTCCAAAGCTTATTGGTGACGGCTGGTGCATAAGAGCTCCCAATGAGGATGGATTTACAGCCCTGACAAAGGAAGACCAGGATCCTTGAGTGCTTTCTGTATTTTTAGATCCCAGAAGATGATGTGGTTCTGTGATAGGAATCTCTTACACTTTGCCATTGACATAAATGGGTCACAGTGCCTGCACAAGCTTATGCAAGAGTCAGGAGCAATCGCTCTCTCTCTCTCTCTCTGGGTCAGAGTCAGATTTTATCAAGTCAAGCTATCTAACTGAACACACACCATGTGATAGGACCCAAACAGAGTACATTAAAAATGAAACAGAAGGGGCCAGGTTTTTCTCAGTCTAGAGCTGGTACGGGAATAAGTTTCAGACACCACTTGAATACAGAATAAGTTTCATCCTTCTACATTGACCTAAGTCTGTCTTTCAGGGGATGGGGGAAATGTTGAGAATAAAACACACATGATGCTAGATGTATCTGTGGTAAACCAATATGTTGGCTAAATAGGAAAAATCAGGTGAGTTAAAGTCTCCTGGCAGCCTGATTGAAAGCAGGGCTACACAGACCAGAGCCCTGTCCAGAGCTCAGGAAAGTGAATTATACGTAATAACACTTACAGTTTCCTACTATTAGATTTGCCTTCTTACATAAATGCTTAAGTTATGATAAAAAGCAGGGCCCTGTCAGTTCCTTTCAGTTTCAGCACATTTGCTATTAGCATAAGAAATGCTGCTTATGGCAGAGCTAGTCTAGTCGGGCTTGAAATTTCTGAATTAATGGATTTGATTTCCTCTTGAGACAAACCATCAGCCTTGCAGTAATGGAAATAGATATAGTTGGTAAAACAAATAAAAAGCTGGCATGCAGATAAAATGGGTTTCAGTTTAAAATAGTAATGTTGTAATTGAAGTGAACAATTACAGGGTTGCTCCTAGGCACAAAAGAAATACCATGAAAGTGAAGTAATGTTTTTGTTAAGTATAGTCATTTCATGAAAATGTAGAACAGCAGATGTCATTGTCTGCCAAAGGGAAAGCTATACTTACTCCTCTATACAAAGATCATTTAATAACATTGGCTAATTTTAATAATAATTGCTAATATTAACCCTACATTTCCCGGGGAGTTTGAAGACCAAAGCTCCTCGCCCGCCCAGTTTTCTCCCTTGCTTTGGTTCTGAGCCAAGGACAGCGAGTTCCCCTAAAGAGCTGTTGGCAAGGAACGCTCAGCAATCCCCACCCCCAGCCTTCTTTCTTTAATGTCTTATTTCTCTTTTTTTGTCAAGCATCTGTTATCAGAAATGGAGCTTGTTAGCTGACAATGGAAGGTACAGGAGGGGTGAGAATAAAACGGGACTGGAGAGTAGGAACCCCAGGACAGAAAAGCTGGCTCTGGAATGTTCACATCTGATCCTCTTTGCATTTTTTTTTTTTTGTCTGTTTCAACTCGTCTGCAGACCATATGAAATTCAGCACAGAAACTTCCATTTTTAGAACTTGAAGTCTTTTCATGTTCGTGTGCACACTGAGGCAGCCAAGGCCACAGGATGTCACCAGAAACATAAGTGTCTCATGGACTCTGAAAAGGCAGTGACACAAATACACGGGAACAAAATGCTCAGCTGGGTCTCAGTCCAGCCCCAGCCCTCCCTCCTCCGCCTCCGTTTTCTTGCACTGCAGGAAGAGACACGTTCTGTGTTTCCTCCTCAGGTTGGAGTAATTAAAACAATATTGGAGCTCTGCGAAATTTTATTTGGAAACACATCACGCTTTGTTCCCTGCGAGGCTGCCTGGCTCGCACACAGCCTGTTGGGCTGGTTGAGCCTCTCTTTATCCAAGGAAAGTGTTCTTCCCCACTGGGGTTGATATATATATATCTAATTTTTTTTTTAAATCACAGCATTGAAGAAGCACGGAGGAGTGAAAATGAAATTCCTCCCTAACGAAGGACTGAACTGTGACTTCTTAAGAGAAAAGGTTCAATCCCCCGGCTGTGCGTCTTGGGAGTGAAACTGGAGAACGACCTCTCCTCCTTTCACTCGGCCAGTTAGAGTGATTCATCCCTCAGGCAGCCTACCTGTGCCAGTCACAGGTGACCTCCCACCCCGCTAAGCTCTGATGATTTCCTCTTCCCATGGTCCAAGTACAACTCGGGCTAGAAGACAAATGCAGTGCGAGCGGAGACTTAGGGGAAAAGCAGGCTGTCTGAATCTGTCATTCGAGAGCCTCGCAGAGACTTTACTGCTTTCTTCACACTCTCACACTTACATAAATACACCCACACAGCCTGGGAAAGTTCCCCAGACTCCCAAGCGGCTCTCCTCCATTAGGAGACATTTTAAAACAAATTAGCACCCTCCTCAAAAGCCTATTGGTCTAGATGTGTTTATTACTTTGTTTGCTATTTTAAAAACTCCTCCTAATGGCTTACAGCAAGACTGGGGAGTTCCTGCAGAATTCAGCACACCCTTGTCTGGTGAGGAATATGCACATCGGACGAAGACTTAAATCTTTTCTTTTTTCCCCCTTCTTGACACAGTGCCTGGTGACACATAAATGTACTTCTTTCTTTTGACAGAGTAATAAAAATCTCATTATCTCTGAATAGGCAGCAATTTCGTTATCTAATCTTTTTACCAAAAGGTTAGTTAATTAATCAGAAACAAATCCTGATTATTATTTCAATAGAATTAGAAAGACAAATCACCAGAGTGCAGCTAAACAGGGCCGGCCTGCGGTTTCACCTGCTCATCGCCATGCAGGCCCCGTGGCTATCGGGCTCCTCCGGGCTGTGCCGTGGCAGCCGGCAGATGGCTGTTAGGGCGGCCGGCCTGCCTCCGCGGATGCCTGTGATCCCATTACCTCACTGAATCCGTTACCAGGGTAACTGTTAAATTGCTGTGAAAGGCATGGTAATAAAGTAACCTGTCACACTGGCAATAAAAGGAGCAGAATTTTCCTGTTCACTGAACTTTGCAGCTCATCAATACTCACTTGATGGAGAAATTCACCAGTACTCCCGGGTCAGCCACGGGCATCTTTCCATAAGGAAATGCGAAGGAAAGTTCATGTAAACAACAGGAAGAGCGAATTAGAAGCTGCATTCTTAGCAGCGTGGAGCGAATGCTTCTCTCTTTTCTGTGGAAGGTTATGGAGTTTGAAGGCCATCCGATTGCTCCCTTTGTTGTTGTTGTTTTTAATTTAAGGTACGGTAGATAAAAACAACCTTTGCTAGTGAAAGACAGCTGTGATTAATTCAAGACGGAAAAACAAAGCCCAAGGGGGAAAAAAATTCCTTGTCCTGAAGTCTGCCTTTTTAAGATCCTATCTTATTGGCTGCTTTCATGGAAAGGTCATGGTACTTTAAAAAATGATTTGGATTTGAATATTAAAAAAAGAAAGAAAGAAAAGAATGGGAAAGCCCAAGCGGGAGGAGTTGAAAACGAGCCACCCTTCCTGCTCCACCCCACCAGGCCCCTCAGCTGTAACTGCAAAGAGAAGAACGTGGAACGTGAAGGGATTGTGAGGTGTGGCTGTGCCCCCTCCTGTAAATGCCCTTCAAGGGTTTCTAGGTCATGCATTCTAGTAGCGACATCACCAGGTATGAGATTTGCTGTATTTAATTGAGGTTCTTTGAGGTAAGAAAGTTGAAGAGCCAAATACTCTCAGCATTGAATTAAAGAATAAGGAATAAGTAGGAAAACCCATTTACCTCAATTACATCTCACAGCCAGACCTATGAACATACATGGAAAGTGGGGTGTATCTATCTAGCCCTCATTACTGGGCATTTGCAGACTTCATGCTTTTGCCTGCACTTGTCGGAATCATTAATTAGGCAGTACTAACTTTAGAAGACTTTGGAATCTGTCTTCTGAAATAATTTTGGTTCTGCTCCTTTTTCTCCCTCCCTCCCTCTGACTGGCAAGTGCTTACAGCTTGTTATTAGAAAGCTGACAGTATTTCTTTGCCTAGCCTGCAGCACACACCAACCATACTTCTAATGGGAGTTGCAATCCGTGAAAAGAGAATCCTCCCAGCAGACGCCATCCTCTTTACAGAGTGCTCAGCGCGGGTTCCTGCAGAGCTCCACTGGTGGCCACACCCGACAGGGCCTTCCACTGGCATTTTAGACACGACGTTGCTTTTATCAATGAGGTAACAATGTGCTGTGCAAAGAAAAGTGAGTGAGTTCCCTGTCAGAATCAAGAAAATGAACGATATGACATCATGATATTCAAATTTCTCTCAAAATTGAAAATATTTTCTATCCCTCTGAAAGCGATTATCAAACATGGGCTTACAACACACACAAAAGTACATGGAGAAATTTGTACTTTTTAATTTTTATTTATTTTGAGAAATTTGTATTTAATTGCTGATATTTAAAGCATTCTTCATAATTGCACTTTTGGCTTTTGCATTCTGATCAGGTTCCTGAGTAAAAGAGAAACAAGTAGAGTCACAGAGCTAACTACTTATGAGCAACCTCAGGCTGCTGCTGATGTGTGCCATCCCTAGGAAAGTTTTCTAAGGCAGTAAGAGTAGGAGAGCCTTAATCTGTGCCAGAGACTGGCCAGCTAAATCTGGAGGAATAACTAGAATAAAATGCCCCTCCAAATGAGCTGCTAGACGATTAGATTAAGGGCTGTCAATACCAGTGGGGAAGTGAATGACATAAATGTGTGCGGAAGACTGGAAGAGAAAATGCACCAGGGTGGCCCTGTGACCCACTGAACAATCCATTCCCTCTCTAAAGAGGGATTATTATTTAATTCCCACCCAGTGTTTCTGTGTAGCTATGGGGAGTCCGCTGTTACTAGACATTTTAGCTTTTCAATACGGCCCTCAAACAAGAAATTTTATTAAATATTCCAACTTTTGGGGTTGTTTTTAGAAACTTCAACTTTTAAAGTTCAGTTATGTCAGTTTCCTAAGGCTGACATAAAAATGTGCCACAGACTAAATGGCTTAAACAGATACTTGTTATCTTAAGGCTCTGGAGGCCAGACATCTAGATCGGGGTGTTGTTGGACTGCTCTGTACAGGCCTCTTCGCTGTGGCTTGTAGGCGCCTGTCTGCTCCTCTGCCTTCAAGTGGGGTCTTTCCTCTGTGTCTGTGTCCTAATTTCTTACTATTAATGGACACTAGTCATATGAATGAACTTTCTACTCAAATGTCCTTTGAAGGTCCCATCTCTAAAGATAGATATATTCCAGGACAGAAACAATTATATGGCGATTATATTGTCAAAGGCACAGTTGTGAGCCTTTTCAATTTATTAACTTAGTGAATTTTTGCAGAGTATTTATGAAGTACATATTATTGCTATTTCTAATTCATAGATGTACGTGGCTATGATTTGAATACATTCTGTCTTTCCTTGAGTTATATTAGAGTTGAAGCCCCATTGTGAGGTATTAGAGTAGAAATTTAATCTGACTACACTGTTTAATGTTAGGGCCTTGGTGGTGATTAGATGAGGTTATCAAGATGGCGCCTCCATTACTGAATGCTGGTGACTTTAAAAGGAGAGGGAGACAGGGACAGAAATACAGGGACAGGCAGAAGAAATGTATATCTACATACACACATATCCATCCATGTACATATTCCTTCTCTCCCCCACCCCTCAATGTACAGGGAATCGAACTCAGGACCTTGCACTTGCAAGGCAGGTGCAGTGCCACTGAGCTAAATCCCTGGCCGTTCTCTGTCTCTCTTGACACAATATCTTCAGCTGCTTTGGACTCTGCCAGTAAGAAGGCCATAATTAGGTGTATCCCTCAACATTAGATCTGATCTTGGGCTAAAATACATTCACTTTCTTTATACCTAGCCTTTGGCACTGTCTTATTAGCAACAGAAAATGGACTAGCATAGAAAATAGGTACTAAGAAGTGAGGCTGTGGCTAATGATGTACAACTAAACATACAGATGAGTTTTTGGAGATGAGTAATAGGCAGAAGTTAAAAGAATTTGGAGGGGCAAGCCAGAAGAATTCTACGACACTGTTGGCAGAGTGTTGTGGTGAGACCATAACTGATGAGGAGACTAGCAGACCCTTCCCAGATGGAAATAAGGATTCTATTGGAATTGCGAGTGAAGGCCATCTTCGTTATGTCATCGCAAAGAACTGGGATGCACTCTATCTGTGCCCTAGAATACGGTTTAGTTTTTGGGCAGAAGAAAATTCTCAATAGAAACACATCCAGACACAGCACAGTTGTTATTGTACGCTTTGAGACAGATTCGTAGTGAGACGCTGGAACAAAAGGAAATAGGTGTGGAAAGATTTGGATACTTCGAAGGCTATTCAGAGCAAACTACTTGTCTTCTGGTGAAACATTCTGCAGCTACCGTCATAGCTCGCACTAGTACAGAAACTGCTCTTGTCCCTGGTCCACCTTGGTGTTGGTTCCACAGACACGCAGAGTGCAAGAGTGGCTGGGGGTGTGATGGCTTTTGTCAAGATAGCAGAGAAAGTCTGGAAGATGGGTTAGAAGTCAGTCGGGTGATGGCTGGTGGAGTTGTGCAAAGGGAACTGCAGTGAGCACCTGCAAAAGGTAGGGAAGTCAGCAACCCAGTGCCTGCCAGGAAGCTTTCAAAGCCAGCCCAAAGAGTAATCACGTGACTTAAGGCTCCCAGGACAAAGGGGTGTGGTTGCTGCATTCCAGAGAGTCTGTCCTCTCAGCATTGTGCGCGGGATGTTGGACTTAAAACTTCACTCTGTCTCTTGCTGGGTCTCCATCTTGCTTTAGGCCAATTGCTTATTTTTACTTGCAAGTCTTATGGTCCTCGTCTTCCAAGACGAGCTCATCAGCAGGATGTGGCCTTTTCTTTCTTTAGAGAAAAAAAAATCATTAAGAATCTCTGGGCATCTAGGACATATACAGGACAAAGTTGGAGAATTTCTTTAATGCTAAAATTTGTTTGCTTTCATCGGCATTGTTCCTGCTTATCCCTTTCATTGCTATTCACGTGACAACTGAAAAGAAAAAAGAAGTCTTTATCTACTGTCCAGATCTCTGAAGAAAGGATAGACCACATCCTACTAATGAGCTTGTCTTAGAAGACAAGGACCATAAGACTGAGCGGTAGCCCTAAGACTAAAGGTCTGCCCGCTAGCTATACATGAAGGATCGGAGTTCTCTGACAAAGTGGTGGATAATTCAAAACTGGAAGTGGAGGCTTAAGCAGATGGAGACACCATTGAGCATCTTCCTCTTCATTTTTCTCTCTCCATCTCTCTGTCTCTGTCTTTCTCTCTCTCTTTTCCACCCCTGCCTCCACATTCTGGGGGGATGGTAAAGAAATAGTAAAACATTTAGTTATTCATATTTTCTCCTTCTTTTCCAATAAAATGAAGCGGTGTGTCCATAGGGCCCATAATGTCTAGTTAGCTTATGTTCTTAATCAGAAATTTTGGAAAAGCAGTTGAGTTGGTAAACTTTTGAGTGTTTTTCTTGCGCGGAACCTGAGAAGTGCACATCGACTCTTTGTTGTATCTCTAGGCTGTGAATGGAGCATATTCTGAGGAAATTTTGTTTCATACTTGGTATTTGCAGACTTTTTCTCCTTGAGTGATCTTTTCTCTCTTCTTGTGCCCTTGTGTGTGTGACATGGAAGGGCAGTTCTGTTCGGAAGCTCTGAAACTGGTCGATCTGAGGCTGTATTGTCTAAAACTGTTATCACAGGTCCAAGTGGAACTACTGATTGTGATGCCAACCAGTCTAGAGCAAGCTTTCTTTTCCTACTAATGTAGGAAGATATTTGATTTGCCAGTCAGTTATGTGGTTATTACAATCAGCATTTATTTTAACTTGGCTGAAAGCATGCCCAA